AGCTGTAGGATGTAAGTATGTTTATAGAAGAAGTAGCAACATTTTACATTTTTAATTTTGGCTGGAGTGTCCCTTTAGTGTAGCGTTTGTAAAAGGCTTGTAACTGGGCTTTCTGATTTCAGAAGAGGAAGATAATACAGAGCGTGCGTGCGACACTCTGCTAATGTGTATTGTCACTGTGCTGAACCATGGGCTACGAAATGGAGGAGGAGTAGGAGACGTCCTTCGCCGACCCTCGAAAAATGTAAGAAGTCATGCACAAAAAGCAGAAGGCATCTTCAGTTACACATCACTCCCCTCATATCAAAACCTCGCAACTTTTTTTTTTGCTTTTAGTTTTATACCATTTGAAAATGCCAGCTGCGCTTAACATTATGTGAACATTTTGAGACGAATGGACCAATAAAAATTCTTCTTTTTCTTTTAGTCTTGTACAGTCTATAAAATAGATACAGTCTGTGCAAAAGTTTGAGCACCCCTTTCTAATACAAAACAAGTACACATCCTCTACAGGGAACACACTTCTGCTCATTTTAATGGACAATTAGTGTTTATACGCCGAATTTAACATATTGGAAAAATATGTATAAAAGTATAAAATGTGGCCTGCGCAGAAGTTTTACAGTTTATTTTTTGGCACATTTTATATGATCATTTATATCATCATCATCTTAAATTGAAGGAGGAAGTTGTGGGTCACAGGGTGTTCTGGGACTCTCTGCTTTCCCTACTGCTACTGCAACCCACATATTTTTAAAGTTTGTTCGAAGATTTGCAGACAAATACAGTATTTAAGTTTGTTCCCTGTGGATGATATTCTAACTATTTTCCCTTAAAAAATCAACAAAACATGTAATTTGAGCAGGGGTGGTTCAAAGCTTTGCATACAACTGTATGTGAAGAACCTCAAAAACACAGTGTGAAAGAGTGTTAGTATTATTAGTAATAACCTGTACAAAAAATGCCTGACTGTGTCTGAGAAGATTATCCAAGCTTACAAAACCCTCTTTGCCTTATAGGAGACTCTGTTTCCTGCACGAGTGGTGTACGATCTTCTCTTCTACTTCATCGTCATCATCATTGTACTGAACTTGATCTTCGGTGTGATCATTGACACCTTTGCTGACCTGCGTAGTGAGAAACAGAAGAAAGAGGAGATCCTAAAGACCACCTGCTTCATCTGTGGTAAGAACTGCTAAAGCCTGTTACCATCATGTCTTTTTTTGGCAGGGATCAACACAACTGTTGTCAACTATTCCAAAAGTGCCTTCCTTTCAGGACCGCAGGAAGTGGGGGTGCTGGGGGGTGTAGTATTGTAATAGTACAATTCTGAACTTTAGAATAATTTGAGTGTAGTATAGAGTCATGTGTGCTTGTTTTAGAGTGGAGTTCGTTTTTTCATGTTTTAAAAAATCTGCAGTTGTCATGCACTGTTTAAGTGAACGCTGTATTTTCATTACAGTGAGCCAAAAACAGCTGGTGTTGCTCTAATACACGCAGACTGAGTTCATAGAGAAAAAAGTCTGTATAGAGATAGAAGCCTGTTCTGAAGCCCAAGCTGGCCTAATATTGTCTTTTAAACTTTAAAAAGTAATCTAACGCAATAATAAAGCTTTTATCAACCGTTATTCTCTCGTTCTGTGTGTGTTTCAGTGTTAAATCTTTGAAAATTCGTCCAGATCTAGAGAGCAGAGTGCTGTAATGCGTCAGTGGTTTGATGTGTCAGTTATATGTTTAAATCGTCCTCTCTTGCCTCGATATAGCACTGTATGACGCAGTCAGTTTCATAGAAATTATAAAAGAAAATTATATTGCGTGATGTCACACTGCTTAAAATTTCACCCTCAACCTAAAACACCTTCCCACGTCTGTACTTGCATTATATTAACTTGAATGATATTCCTACTAAAGTGGAAAAACTACTTCATAATGATTACTGTAGAAAACAAAGTGCTTCTAGAATTTTTTACTGTTGTGTGTCTTTTCTTCTTCTGAAAGGTCTTGAGCGGGACAAGTTTGACAACAAGACAGTGTCTTTTGAAGAGCATATTAAGTTGGAGCACAATATCTGGAACTACCTTTACTTCATTGTGCTGCTGCAAGAGAAGAACAAAACAGACTACACTGGTCCAGAGAGCTATGTGTCTCATATGATAAAAGTGAGCAGTTTGATGTTTCTTTACTGAATGTTGGTGTGTCCTGAATGAGACGTTTGATATACTAAATCTGGAACAAAACAATGAAGGCTTGATTTAGGCCGATATTTGGATGATAATTTAAATACTTGAGTAGTGCTTTACAAAAGCCAAATATAAAAACAATTAGCACTGAAGTACAGAATGAGTGTTAAATAGTTGTACTGCCTTTAATAATGTCATTTCCTGTCTCTAGAACAAGAACCTGGATTGGTTTCCACGCATGCAGGCCATGTCTCTGGTGGTGACTGAGGGGGATGGGAGAGCAAAATGAGATGAGGAACCTGCAGGACAGGCTCGCGGCCACCATGAAAGTGGTCACTCAGCTTACTGGCCAGCTTGCAGAGCTGAAAGAACAGGTGAAAATGACTGCTCTTAACATTGAGTGAAGCCGTTGACTGGGTTGGCCGTTGCTTATTGAATGTATGGATTAGCTACTGTGACGATTGTCACTGTTATGCGTTGGAATAGAAAGAAATGGTCGTTTAGGAGCAAAGTGTCCTCTTTCTATAATAATAATAACAATGTAATAGTAAAAAAGAGGAATAACATTATTTACATAGACGCTTTCATTCAATGTGCAGCTTACAGTGCTTCACAGTGTTTGCAAATAAAACAGTGTATGTCAGTGTAAACGATTTCTGTTTCATAAAAGTAAAACATAAAAAAAAATGAAAGTATTAAAATAGGAAAAAGAGAATATTGTTTAAAGCAACTAATTAATAAAATGCATAAAATGTGAGATTATGCCAGTAAAATCCTAAATAAAAATCTTCAGATGCTTTTTAAAAGTAGCAATAGCGAATATTTTTATACATATTTTATACATACTGTAGGGTCTAATAGTCTGAGACCACATTGGAAATTTAGGATTGTTTTAACTTAAAACAGAGAATAAACAACACAAATTTAACAAATTCTGAAAACTGTAAAACAAAGACAAGTTGTGATGAGTAAAATAAAGGAGAAGTATAAAATATTTCTGTACTATTTCTCAGTCAATATTAAAATTTTAGCAAATTTGTGACATGTTAAAGCCTTTGCAAAAAGGTCAGATTTTCCTTCCATTAAAGCACATGTTCATCAGACAGCTTGATTGATCTACTCCTCAGAGGATTTTCATGATTTTTTTGGAGTCCAAAAAATAAGGACATACAAAGTACTAAGTGCTAAAAGGTTTTTTTTAGTGCTCTCTGAATTTTGGACCCCGCTGTTCCTTGTCGATCTACTGTTTCTTGTAGATCTGCTGTTCCTTATAGGTGTACTTCACATTTACCTCTGTTGTGTTTAGTGTTATGGTAGTACCAGTGCATGGTGTGTAAAATATCTGTGTGAGTGTGAGCTGCTCTAATGGTCTGATATGTGTGTGTTCTGCAGATGACAGAGCAGAGGAAGAGGAGACAGAGGATGGGCTTTGTGGACGTTCAGGCGGGCTCCAATGCCTCCCTGCCCCCCAGTGCAGCCGGAGGAAACCACCAGATGTACAAATCCTAATACTCACACTGGCTTCTCACAAATGAGCACGCGCACCTTTAGTTCTACCCCCAGTAAAAATGTGATGCTGAAAAGCTGACATGTATATATTTGGCTGATGGGTTTACAGTTGGTGTATTTTACTGGTGGACAAATATTTCCGAATGTATGTGGTGATCAGGTTATCTTTCAATAGGTAGCACTGAATGAGATAGAATGTTACAGGTTTTATGATAAGGAAAAAGAATTTAGCATGTCAGTGTGGGAAGGGTGTTTTTTTGTTTTGCTTATTTTAAAGGGAAAACGTGTAATATATTTTAATGTAATTTTTACTGATTAACTTGTGTGTTTTTTAAGAAGACCAAGTAATCACCACACACCAGTAGGTGTGTTCACTATACTTGATGTGAAAAGCTGAAGTGCCTACAAAAATATATACTTCTTTGGCAAACGAAGTGATGAAACTGTTTTTCACCAATAGCACAGTCTTGAGCAAGAGTAACTGAGTGTTACATTACACAATGTACATAAATGATTTATTGTGAGTTTTCTCTTCTCTCTTTATTGATAGGGCAAAACTGAAGTTTTGATCATGAGTTTTCTTTTCTATTTATTCAGAATTTATTTACATGAAGTCCCCTTCTAAAAAATGCAGGAGGTGCCCAGGGCCTGTAATGGCCAGTGCTAATTACCCAGCAGCTCAAAAGCAGTCTGTAGTCATGAAGGACTTTCTGTGTTTTGCACTGAATAAAACTGTGGGAATTGGGCCTGTCCTGTCTGAATCTTCTTTTGAATCAATTCTATTATATTTCACCAGTTTCTATTAATTAAACCAAATTTCAGGTTAGCATATATGTGGTCCTCAGAACTACAGAGCTCAACATAGCCTAATGTAGTACAGCCTAGTTTAAGTACATTTACATTGACTGAACAGTTTTAGTTATAGGAATATTAACAATTTCACCAGTGAGCTAATTAATCACTTTCTGTAGACCTCTCTGCTGAAACACTTTCCCCTCTAGCTGTGTTTTTAATTAGTATAATCAAATGTATAATTCACACCTCTCCACAAAGATGGCTGGGCCAAGATACTTCAAAAAATTGTGTACAACTGCCACAGTAAAAATGTATACACAATAAAATACTCTCAGCAGTGTTGACTTGCTCAAAGACAAAAATGCAGTTCCGGTTGTATCAGTCATACACATTTCCAATGTATAAACTGCATTTTATGGCAACTGTAAAAGGAGGTTAACTTCAGAAACAACATGCTCAGTGAATATTTCTGCAGTCTATGGGTTTGTGAAGCTCTGGCTTTGAGCTAACCTCTCCCACCCTCACTGTCACACACTTGAGGGTGGAGACCGTTTATTGCACTCAGCCCTCAACAGCTCAGCCTGGTCAGTGCATCTGTGCATCTGCTGATGGTCAGACGTTCGTCCTCAGTGCAGGTCAACAGGTAGGCAAGTATACAGACTTTTAAATGTGTGATACTGTAAATTAAGGTGCTTTTGGTCATTCTAACTTTTAGATCATGGTTTTCACTTAATACGTGTAAATATGGCTAGGTATTGGGAACAAATGAATTGAACTTGTTTATATGTTTGTGTTATATATATATATATATATATATATATATATATATATATATATATATATATATAGATTGTGGTATTTTGGGATACTAAACCAGTTTATTTTAGCTGACACTTCTTAAATGACCAAAAGAAAAAAAAAACGCTAAATAAATAGAGTTAAATAAGGACTTGGCCATTCATCTGTCCCAAAATGCCTAACACACTGTCCTGTTGTACCTGAACCTACCCTGTATTTAAATAATGCCTTTAAACGTAGGTATTAAAGCCTTGAAAGAGTGGAGCTGGCTGCTTTATTATGCTTAGTTTCCTTATCTGATTTGGTAGCTTGATAGGTGATCGTAAAAGTAACTGCAGACCACGACAATAAACCACAGGAAAGCCACCTGATTTATCTTCTGACCACAACAGTAGAGATAAACTGCCATGTACAGGACCCTTAAACGCCTGAAACAATGAGTGCAGTGGGGTAATGGGAAAAAATAACATTCGGGGCAATCCAGGGCTTTATACTGTTAAGATCATTTTAAAAAAGGAAAAGATAAAAAAATAAATAATTTTCACATCGATTAAATTAGCTCAAAGGCACGCTGTTTTAAATTCTTAGCAGGTGAGGTAAATTTCAGCCTGAGGCACTGCAAATTCAAGTTATGTCTACCGAGGCGTTTGTATAAAACTTTGTGAAGGGCTTCGTTATTTGAGTTGATACTCAGAATTGAGCCGTTATCGGCGCGGTGACGTATATCTCACGTTTTCAGCAGCATGCGCAAACCTGATAAACACACGTGCTCTGCCCCGCCCAACCAGGGCCTCTCTAAGGTCCGCTTCATGGTAATTAAGAGAAAGTTCTGGTATTAGCTAGAACTGAGGTGCGTTTTCTCACGAATGATGTAATATCTTTATTTTCAGTGCTCCTCTCGGTATGTGTTGTTTTGTTTGCTTTATTTGACTGTAGTAGGGAATTTGGCTTAGCAGCGGACGTGTAGAGGTCAAGTAAAAGTGACTTTTGTGAAATTTTAACTAAAGGAGAAGTAAAAGTACTTTTTAAAAAATCAACTTGAGTAGAAGTGCCAGGTCAGAAAACTGCAGCCATGTCTGAAATGGTCCCTTAATCACTAAACCCTACATTTGAAGATCTGGATCACTATGTAGAACACTAATATAGGGAGCAAAATTAGTGGTGGTAGTAAACAATTTTAGACGTTATGTGGGTTTGCTCATTTTTTACAAACAACACTGCATTTTTGGTACCTCCTGCCTACTAGGGTACACTAAGGAGGTACACTACTTATTGCGGTGCATTATGGTAATGTTTGAGTGCAATGGATCTTCTGCACTATGTTTTCAGACACCACTACAAAATGGTAGAACCCCAAAATAGTGAAACCCCGAGTTCCATATTAAACTGCAGTGGAGCATCTTATAACATCGAACATCTATCAGCATAACTATTCCTCTCTTTCCAGCCTGCTGAAAAAAGACCACTTGAACCATTAGGCCTAAAACCTAAAATGTTTGTGCTTTCTAATGGGAATTGGCTTAAATGTTACCATTAAAGAGCACTAGTTTCTTGTAGATCCCATTAGGAAACCATCAAATATATCTGGAATCAGAGCACCTGTTAAACCATCAGAATCCTTTACACTGTAATATCAACCCTTTAGGAACAAAAAGGAAATACCATTAGTGACTATCGGACACAACCAGGAACCATTTTTTCAGCAAGTAGTGTGTTACTGGTCTAGAATAAACTGATAAACCTCAAAGGTCAGAGGTCTAGCCAGTCAGTACAGACACTGTCACCAACTTAATACAATGAAATTGTGCTAAATGGTAAAACTGCAAGTGAGAAAAAAATAGGCTTCCTTCCTCACAAATATATAAGTGAAAGTATTATCTTTTGAAATATTCAGGAATGTACAACTCAAAATTATATTTGAGGAAATGTGCTGAGTAAGGTCATTTCTTATCATTTGGAGACCCTAAACAACATTCTACTTGGGCCCTACCCACCCACTTCAATCACGGTATCATTTTATTTATTTATTTATTTATTCATTTATTTTGCAAGAATGAATCTACTTATACCACTTATAGCAAGATCTTTTGATTACGATAATTACGGTTCTCTCTATTTTCAATGTAAATATATTTTTTTATTCCTGTTGTACGTCATATTCATTACTATTTTCATTGTTCCTCAGCTGGAAAGATCATGTCTGCCTTTCTGCATCACTGTCCATTCCTGAAGTCCGCTCCAGGCCCAGCCCTGAGGAATGTGGGGGGCTTTCTGGGCCTGGCTGACCGGTGCCCCATCATTGCCCGTCAGATTACAGCAAAGGTCGCTCAGAGCCAGGATGAAAAAGGTAGACTGTGGTCATCCAAAGGCCTTGTTTAGCCAAATATTTTATCACGTTTCATATGATTTGCAAGTTTCAAAAGCATGTTCTCCATCATTGAAGTCTGTAGACATGGATGTAAGCTTTTTCATATCCCAATGGGCTCCATTTTTTATAAAGTAATTATGGTGTAGCTTTTTTTAATTTGGAGAACTTCTTAGTACTCAACGGGTATATTCTTAAAGTTGCCCTATTTTGTTGTAACCTAATGACTTCCAAGCCCAGTGCCTTTGAAAGGTCATTTTGTGCTGAAGTCTTCAAGCTATGAGCTATTTTTTATTTTGTACAGGTTAAGTTAGAACTTGTTTGACTGAAGCCTTTTCTCTTTAGGTCTGCTGCCACAGAAGGAAGCAAAACGCTCCTTGGCTATCTCAGCTGCTCAGGTGGCTGTGTCCTTGACCAAGTCCTGTCCCTTTGTATCTTCTAAGATTGGACTGGTTGAAGCCAGCCCACAGGTTCAGGAGGATGTCCAGCCCCAGCTGACCAGCACTCAAGAGGAAGAAGTCGCCTCAGGTAAAGAACTGTTGCTCCTGCTACTGCTCCTGTTTTCACACTGACATTATGTACTCAGCCGAGGCGGGAAAAATCTAACAGTAACGTGATTTAATGTATGAGTGTAATAATACAGTAAGTGTAATAATTAATTATAAGCTTTACTAATGTTTGCAGTAAGATGTAGGTCACACTGTCATGTAGAGAACTGGAGCAGAGAGGTTCAACCATTCATTTCAGAGATTGTGTCTGTATCTGTGGTGCTGCATACAGTGAGAAGCAGCTCTGTGAAATAAGATAAATAAGAATCCTCAGAAAGATTACAGATGTTACGTAACAAGCGCAGGTCTACAGTAAAGCAAGTGACGCACAAAGATTTGTGAGATAAAGTATTGTTTTTTCTTTCTTTGATATATATTGTGTATATAAAGTATCGCATATTTTAATTAATATTGTTAGTTTGGATATTTGGTTATGATCCATATAAACCCAATGCATCAATTGAGACAGTAATATATATATATATATATATATCAAATATGTATATATATATAAATGTATTACTGTCTGAATTGATGCATTGGGTTTATATATATATATATATATATATATAATCAGAAAATCATCATTTATTATTATTATTATTTTTAATGATTTAATTTATCATGATTTATCTTTAATTTTTATCTTATCTTAATTTTTACATTAGAAAACTTAAACTCTTCAACATAATAAGTTAGCCCATAGGTGGAGCCTTATTTTAGCCACACCCCTGCATTTTAGAGGAGGACTGGTATGGAATGGTAGAATGATCCACATATATGTCATCACTGTCAAAACCTCAGGAGAAAAAAAACCTTCTTAACTTGTAATGCTTAATACAAGAAGATATTTCTCCAGTTACTTTTAGACGTTGGTACATTCACTATGAAATTTAACACAATGCAAAGGGTAACTAGAGTTCTCAAATTATGTAAAAAAAGGAGATATTAGGTTTTTGTGTGACAGCAACAACATATTTATTTAGTTTATTTATTTATCACAATTTTTAACAAGATTATTATTAGGAATGCACATTAATGTCAGTATAATATCAGTACTAGTGGGTAATTGCTTTTAAAAACTGATCAGCATCACATCACAGATGTTTTTTTAAATTGATATTTTTGTTAAAGTATTTACTGTAGTACTGCAGAGCCACTGCCCTAAAATGTATGCATTTTATTCACTTTACTGCATTAATGTTATATTTTTCTGTACTGCTAATCCAGGTAGCTTTATTCTCAATTCTGCATACATTTTATAAATATGCATGTATTTTATAAATATTTGTTATCAGCATTGGCCCACAATTCCCACATCCCTAATCACTGTACACATTTTTGTTTTTCTTTTCTCATTTCTACAGGAATGATCAGCTCTCTGTTTTCTGGCCTACAAGGACTTCGCTCATCCACACCATCTCACCTTCTCAAGGATAATATGGGTTAGATCATCATTATCAGTCATGAACCTAAATACAAGGCCATTATTTTCCTGTTCAAACTACTGCTGTTGTTAATTTGTGTGGACACTAATTTACTGTTCTTCCACCCTCAGTTGGTCCCAGTTTTGACTATGATGACTTCTTCACCCAGAAGATCGTTGAAAAGAAGAATGACCACACATACCGTGTTTTCAAGACAGTGAACCGCTATGCAGATGTCTTCCCTTTTGCTGAGGATTACTCTGTTCCTGGACGGCCTATGTCCCAGGTGTCTGTCTGGTGCAGCAACGATTACTTGGGCATGAGTCGCCATCCTCGAGTCGTTAAAGCTATATGGTGAGTTCCTGAAAAAAGTTCCTCAAAAGCATGTAATAACAACTTCATTTCAATAAAGGATTCCAGCACTAAACAGCACGTTTCATGTCTAAAGCAGATAAATTGCTAATTAATTATGCAAATATGTACATGACAAGTGTGCACATGTGATCTGCTTTTCAGGGACACTTTGGAAAAACATGGTGCTGGAGCTGGTGGCACCAGGAACATCTCTGGAACAAGCAACTACCATGTGGCTCTCGAGAAGGAACTGGCTCTTCTTCATCAGAAAGATGCAGCCCTCGTCTTCTCTTCATGCTTCGTGGCCAATGACTCCACCCTTTTCACTCTGGCAAAAATGCTTCCAGGTAATCATCAAAAGATGAGTTACAGCTCATTTCTCCCACACATTTCCACTTTGACTCAAAACATGTCCTCTTTCTTCATGATCACTGTAGATTAAATAGTTGTCTTCTGGTTTTCAGTTATGGTAGTCATCTCTCAATGGCACTGGTGCAAAGTCGGGGGTGGGAGGGTGACATACCCTTCCTACTTTTTAAAACTGCATGAGATCATTTTTATAGGGTAGCAGGATGGTTGTCAAAAAAGCGTATAGCTTATTCACTGATAATATTTTCCATTAAATCATCCACATCAGTTATATTGCATTGTCATTACAAACAGAAACAGAGGGTGACTGTGTACATGAAAATGCACCACACTAAGTTTCTGTCAGTGTGCAGCAGCTCTTAGTGAAGGAGGCAGCCTAACAGCTAACTTTTATCTGTATTAACATTACATGATTATTTTCTGTTTACAATTCAAAGCATCCCCTCATTTGTTGGATCAAGTTTGTGCTCCTACTCAATGGAAACTCCTCTGTTTTAGGCTGCGAGATTTATTCAGATATGGGGAACCATGCCTCCATGATCCAGGGCATCAGGAACAGTGGAGCCAAACGCTTCATCTTCCGTCACAATGATGCTAGACACCTGGAAGAGTTGCTCAGTCGCTCTGACCCACGAACCCCAAAGATTGTGGCCTTCGAGACAGTGCACTCTATGGATGGTGAGTGAGAGGTTAATACTGTAGAAACTGACATTTTTTGGTAACCCAAGAACACTCTGGCAGATTCTATGGAAACGGTTTGTAAATCACAGTTTATGTCTCAGTTGATTAGGAAAATAACAGTGAAAATAAGTGAAAAAAGTACCTCCAAAATTATAATTTAAACTTTATAATGCAAACTTTAGTTTTAATGTAAGTTAATGTAAAGACATTTCATTCTAAGTAATTTTGGAGCATTTCTGTTACTCTATTCATCATGAATTTTTTACACAATAGGATGGACTGCTGCTGAGCTCAAATGGTGTAGAAAAATAACAATCGCAAAAAGTTAAGATACTTGGGGGTTTTTTGGACTGTGAAGATATGCAACGAGAGCTGAAATAGCATTTTCTACTTAGTCACTAAACATAGGATTAACACAATTTTCTCCTTACACCAAATGCAGTTGATCCAACAAAACATGTTTGTTGTCTGATGTTTACTTCTTTAGTTTTGCTGATGTAACTATCAAGTAACGGAATCATAAACCTCACCAATTAGCATCATGCAAACTCATCACACACTTTGCTCAAACCCCAGTGAGTTATTAAGTAATCTCAAATAGACTTGCATGTGTTGTTTCTGGCACTGTATGACACACTATTATGCATAAAAATGGACAAAAGTGGGGCAAAACTCGTGATGGCAGCTACAGCTGTTTTTAGCTATGCAACAAACATTTGTCTATACAGTGTCCATTACGCTAATTAGGGGAAATAAGCTTCCATTACCTGTTAGCTACATTAACTTTGTAGCTCTGGTCCAAAACTAATGATGCACACTTAAGACATCAAACATGTCTTGGCTGATTGGCTACATTTTGGGGAATGAAATTGTATAAGCTACTGTTTTAAATCACTTGATTATCTTCTCAGGTGCTATCTGTCCCCTGGAGGAGCTGTGTGATGTTGCACACAAATATGGAGCTCTGACCTTCGTGGATGAGGTTCATGCAGTTGGCCTGTATGGTGCACACGGAGCAGGAGTTGGGGAGAGAGATGGTGTCATGCACAAGATTGACATTGTTTCTGGCACGCTGGGTAAGAAGGGTCTTTCACATACTGTGTTTACATGAAAAGTCAATGCCATTTAACTTAATTTTGTTATCTAAGAACAAATTTTGCCTTCTGTGTGCAGGTAAGGCATTTGGCTGTGTTGGAGGCTACATAGCCAGCACTGCTGCGCTGGTGGACACGGTGCGCTCCTTTGCAGCAGGCTTCATTTTCACCACCTCATTGCCTCCCATGGTATTGGCTGGAGCTGTAGAGTCTGTGAGAGTTCTGAGGAGTCCAGAGGGTCAGGCCTTGCGCAGGGCACACCAGAGGAATGTCAAGCACATGAGGCAGCTGCTGCTGGATGCAGGTCTGCCTGTCATCAACTGCCCCAGCCACATCATCCCCATACGGGTCAGTGCAAATGCTTTGCAACTATTCTGACTGTAGAGCAGTACTGCCCAAAGTGTGGCCCACAAGCCAAATTTGCCCCTGATGATATTTGATTTAGCCTGCCAGAAAGTTATTCGAACCTCACCCAAGGTTGCATTTTCCATTATTTTAGTCACAAAATACAGTGTAATGTTATAAAATACTATTTTAATAAAATACATACCTTACATATCTTAATTTGTATATCATTTTGGCTTTTTTGGCCCTTGGTGCATCATAAACACTGCACTTTGGCCTCCTAGTACAAAAAGTTTGGGCATCCCTGCTACAGAGTATCAGTTACAATTATATTAAACTCTGAGGGACTCATATATGGGTTTACACTTCAATTCTTCTACATAATTTTCGGGATAGTTCAATAAAGTTATATATTAATTCATAGTAATTACATAATATTAAGTCATGATATTAGTAACTTAGTAATAAGTGTAGAGTTTCTAGGGTTAAGCAAAGAAAGTAAAATAACTCTCTAAAAAGGTAACTTTACAGGAGAAGGAAAAAACATTGTTTACTTTGAATGAAAGCTAATGGAAAAACATCTTATTCTATGTCATTTTTGACTATTTTAATTATTGCATTCATAATGAAAATGTATGTATTTTAAAGTCATTTAAAAATAATAGTGATGATATATATTAGTAACAGTATAGCATACATATACTATAATACCAATTATGTGAAACCAGTGGTCAGAAACAGGACACTCTAAGATCTATATGTATACTGACGCTCTGATTCATATTTTTTGTTAACGACAATGTCTTAGGTTGGAAATGCAGCAAAAAATTCCAAGGTGTGTGACATCCTGCTGGATAGACACAACATCTATGTTCAGGCCATAAACTATCCGACAGTGCCACGCGGAGAAGAGCTACTGCGATTGGCTCCCTCTCCTTTTCATGACCCCATCATGATGGACTACTTTGTGGGTGAGTGTGCTGCTTTGACCTGGGACATACTATTTATTGTATTAATGTCTTCTGTATTTCTTTTAACACTGGTGTTTATCTGACCAAATAAACACTTACTGGTCAGATAAATATCTTTTGATATACAATTTTCTTAGGTGCCTAAAGGTTTGGCACAATTCTGTACATATGCTGCTTAAAATCTCAGCAGCTCCAACTTAAAATACCTTCCCACATTGTTGCTGATATTAATTCAGGCCAGACAAGACTTCAGTCTGAGTTTGCTAATGACTTCTCTGGTTTTGCTGATGACTGTGTATTGTATGTTGTGCAGAGAGACTGGTGGACGTATGGCAGGAAGTTGGGCTGCCACTGAATGGACCTGCGACGGCCTCCTGTACTTTCTGTGATCGCCCCCTCTACTTCGACCTCATGAGCGAGTGGGAGAAGAGTTACTTTGGAAACATGGAGCCAAGATATATTACAGTTGCTGCACAATAAGCTCAGTGGAAGGGGACAGAGATGTAAAAGAACATAGAATAAACCCTGCTTACATAACTCCTTCAAATACTCAGATATCTTCCTTTACACTGTCACACATATTGTTCTTTGCTGCAGATTTATTGTTGCTAGACTGATTGCTGTGTGGCTTTTTAATGGACTACAAAAAAGACTCGTAATAAACTGACATTAAAATATTTATATACGTATGTAAGTAATTCTGTGTCCCCTCTGCATATTAAAAACCTGCACATGGGCACTTTTGGAAATTATTTATTGAATTATTATTTATAGTCAGTTCTTTGGACACAAATCACTTTGTATAAAGCCTAGTATGAAACTTCATGTGTCCAAAAACCCCTGTCCCTCAACATTATTTTAATAATGTCATCAAATTAATTTTACCCTTTACTGTATTCATGCAGGAGTGTGTAGAATAAGACAGTGGGAATTTGTGACATAAATCCTTCTTGCTTTCTTGGACCATTTTACTTTCCTGGGGCCAAATGTTAAAACAAATAAAATGAGACAGCACTTTTCAGTCATCTGTCTCTCTTTTTCTCCCGTTCCCTTTCAAACAGAACATTAGTAGTATGCTTATGAAGTCTCCCTGGAACATATGACCATGTTATCATCATTCACAGGCCTGAGGTTAACTCACTGCATGCAAGTAATCTCCCCAAACTGTCATCATAAGTAGTCATGATTAATGCCAGCACTTAACATTCAACACTTTACTGGTAACAACCAAATTACTTAAATATAACAGAAAATAGTCAGTCTTATCAGCAGTAGCGAACCAATAAGCATGCTTATTTCAAACTCTAGACTGGTGACTGGTCTATATTTATTCTAATATTAATGTTTTACAATTACAAGTACAAATATGAACAGAAATAACAGTGTCTTTTCACAGTCCAGGACTGCTGGGTATGACACTGTGAATGACGTATTTGATTTACGAAAATATTAAATAAATAAATCATAAAAATGTTGCACAAAAGGATATGGTTTTATTTTTTTCTATAAAATTGGATTCTTATGGTAAAGTATCATCCAGGAACTGGTATCAACAGCTAACCAGCTAACCACTATCTTACACTTAGGGTCAAAGTCAGTACACTGGGCCTAGTTTATCTATTTGGTTGAGGGCTGTTCCTTCCTGTGCCAAGATGTAGACACGCCCCCTGATAACAGCGAGACCACGCCCTCACAACAATATCATCTGAGGGCTTTTGGGGCCGGCTAGTATTTTTACACGAATGAGTAATTTATGAACAGTCAACAATTTTTTGTGATTTTCATAGACAAAAGTCACCTAATGCAGGAAGTCTATTAAACTTAAATATCTGTATAGAAACTGACGCCTATATATAGGCCTATATTTATACAGCAGCACATTGGTACAGTTTTCCATTATTATAAAAGGGAAACTTGACAACAAATCGTCTAAGGAAAGAGAAGAAAAAGTGGTTTAGCGCTTCAAGACTGTGACAGGTAAAAACAACATATACTTTAGTGAAAATCAGGCAGCCGGTTCACAGAATTTGCATGCATCAAAAATGCAAGGCCATTTTGTTTGTTAACTATGGCTGTGTCTGAAACTGAAGGCAGTTGTCTCATAAGTCAGTGCCAGAAGTCAGCGTTGTCCACTGTGTCAGTGCTAATGGGGACACAGAGGATTTTGGGATATGTAAGGCGGCGAAAGATACTTTTACACTGCCTTCAAAAAACGGCCGAACAGAGGAACCTCTACAGACAGACAGCGTTTTATACAAACATTAGTTTCGGACGTCACTCGGTTCCTTCCTGCCTCAGAGTACTGTGTGAGTGGGCAGCGGTCGTTACGTTTCAGGAACAGTTTGTGATGTTCGCTCATATCACTGTGCAAAGGGTACTTTCCATTAAAAGAATTCAGTTTATATCTCCTTATCTTTTTAAAAGCAATGACCGTTTTTTTTTATATTTCTGTAAAATTAAAGGGATTTATTAATTAAAGGGAATAAAATATCAAAATGAGCATTTACATCACAAAAAAAACAAAAAGTCTGTCCATCTTTAATATAGTGATTTTGGACTGTACCTCACTGACGTTTTCTACGAAATATATTCTTTAAAAACGTCCAGTAACAGTTTATTCATCGTGATGTACAGAGGAGTTTAACTTCACATCTTGTTTTCTGAAGAATGACCAAGACAACGCACACAGCTGATTGATTTGGCTGCATGGGTAAATGTTACTTTATTGTTAGAAAAAAGAATATATATGTATATTTTCTAAATTCATGTAAACTATATAGTAGTTAGCATGCAACATGTTCATCCAGTCAAGCTAACCGCTCCTGAATGTTATTTAGGCTAAACTCGCATCCCTGTTACCCATTTTTAACCTGATCTGAAAGCATTTCGAGGCGTAAAATTGAACTCTATTCACAGCAAGTGCCAGAAAACATTAAGCAAGGCTACATCGCCACCTTCCGGATTCTGCTGGAAATGCAGTGGTGCTCTTTAGCCTGTTCTGTGTCTCAGTTTAGGCTTGATTGCCTGAGCAGTAACGTTAAAGCTGAGTTTAAAATAAGCTTGCCTTATACCTAGTAACTATATGTGCTCCTCCTTTCTAAACAGCGGTTTAGCAAACCTTTTGCTAAGATAGCTGAATTAAACTGCTGAGAACCAACCTGCTGGTTTGCAGGTTAAGCTAGAAACTGACATGAAATTTAGATTAGCTTACCCTTTGGACAAAAAATGAATATAATACCACAGAGCCATTTTCAAACAGATGTTTTATTGTATGCCAAAGTGGTCCATGTCCAGATATCCTTAATTGCTGGCAATGGTCTGCAAACAAGGATAAAAAAATACGACTTTCACTCTTTGATTAATTACAGTGGTACTTAAAGGATACATCAGATGTCTCACAACATATTAACGGTACATTACAAAACTTACACTGTTGATCCAGGTGATGTAGGAGGTCACTCGTGTGAAGACGGTGGGCTTCTTGGCAAGGTTGCAGCTCAGACCAGAGCCAAAGCTTACAATACCATGGACCTCCCAGGCACCGTCAGCATTCTGGCAGTTCAGGGGGCCACCAGAATCACCCTGTACCACAGGACACAATGGCATATTACAATTTTCACCCAAATCTCATAAAGCAGGGGCTCCCAGCCAGCACGGTTTGGTAATTTCTTTTCTAAACCTAAAATAGAACGAGTAAATGGATGAAATCACCAAACAGCTCTCCATTACTGGAGCTGGGCAGCCCTGGGCTAAAGTAAAATGCCTAGAATTCTTTTTCAAAAATACCCTCATGGAAAACGTTTTTATATATATATATATATATATATTATATATATATATATATATATATATATATATATATATATATATATATATATTTAAATGATAGAGTCAACTTAATGCAGTAAGTTCTTTTCTATACATTTATCTTTTAGCTTGGCAGCATATCATCGAGACCACAGATTATTGTGTGCTTACGTTGCAGCCAGAAACAATGCCATCTCCTCCAGCACAGACCATGGTGTCCTTAACTTGGCTGCCCCACCAGTCCAACCTAGTGCAGGTAGCATGGTCAACCACGGGGAGCAGAGCCTGCTGCAGGATATCAGGAAGAGAACCTCCAGCTGGAGAGAAAATGGAAAGGGAAAAGGGAAATCTAGGCATTATTCTGAAGACCCCCAGCTTAGGAACCATGTATGCTGAAATACTGAGTACCATTATATTTGCGCTGTCAGGGATAATGGTGTGAGGTTGGCCTATTGAAGACCAAATGTAGATTGCAGCTGTCCAGTTATTCTGTAGATCAACAAGGACAAAAAATCTAAACGTATCCTTTTTCACATTCTATTAACTGCTTTTGTGAAGTCAATCCAGGGTATTTGTTATAGTCAAATCTTACATGATCTGTATTGTGGTAAAGACACTGAACTAGTTTGCATATTGTGGATATGTATTTGTTCATTGTGTGCTACCCTTTGTGGCTGTGTCTCTGGATCTATTGTATTGCTTGTTTATTTGCTTATTTGTATTCTGTGTTTTTCATTTATATATGCATCAAAGCATGCAAGTACATTTGGCCAATTGGCAGAGTCTGGTAAAGTAACTATGTTTATCCTGCTGGACAGTGGTATTATGCAGGAGCCTTACTCTTTGTGCGTCCCCAGCCGGTGACGTAGCAGGGGGCATTGTGGGGCAGAATGTAACCTTCCTCAGGAAGACAAGCAGGCGTGATGGTGTCACTGAAGGTCACGGGGTTAGCCAGCTTCACCAGAGCAATATCATTGCTTTGGCACACATAGGACAGGACAAACACAGTTCATTTTAATGTGTTAATATCATTCTAGCCTTTGTTCTAATTATATTAATCACCTATTATGTTAACCCCGTACATGAACCCACTAGAAGGTCCAAACTTGTACTGCACACTTCTGTAACTTTAACGAAAAAAAATTTGTTTGGTTTGTGCTACAGTCTAAGTAATTAGTAAAAAATAAGCAATAGGATGTAAAAAGCGTGGATGTACAAAGTCAAGAGGTTAATCACCTTCAGTTCCTAGTACTACATTACTATGTTAACTACACTATCAATGGGTTTATACTGTGAACTCTCATTAAAAAAGGTACTAATTGTCACTGGGGTGGTGCCCCATCTTGTCACTGGGGTGCTGCTCTCAAGGGTACATCTTCAATATATTTAGTTAGGAAACAATCGTACTGTAAGACAAAGCAATTCATATATTTTTTGTGTTATATTGACTCCACACACTCTGTCTTCATTGCAGGCTTTTTATTGCATTGTTTCGTATTAAGTCAGTGTGTTATTAAAAGAAACAAGTATGCACCTTTCCCCTAATAAAAATATACTGAAGGTACACAACTGGACCTTAAAACTGTTGTTGTACTTTTGAAGGTGTATTCACATTGTACCTTGATGAACGAAAAATGTACCTGCACTGTACCTTTTTCTGATAGTGTTTGCTACAACAATGTCAATACCATATTTATTTGGTGATGTAATGGTATATACTTTGTCCAAATGCTGTGTAAATATCAGACGCATGTAGAGCTAACATGACCATTTAAACATTTTGGATCTCAGCAAACATAAACACACGGGTTTCAGCATTAAATTTGGAAACAACCAGAAGTTATTCTGTTTTAAGTAATGTACTAGAATCATCTATTTACTATAATTTCTTATTTGATTAGTGCTTTTCAAATGTGAAGGATTCTAGATGTTAATTCTCAATGTTATATAGATTTCTTCATTATCTACAGCTCTGTTCATCATTCTGCACATAAAGTTTTTTTATCTTAAATCTGGAACAGTTTTTAGATACAAATGGGTTTATATTACAGGCAAAACAGTTTGAACAGTATTGTCCATTTCAAACATATGCAAAGTAAGTATGTTTTAAATATGTATCATGTGTTTAATCTCTTTTACCGGATGAAGAGGGAGCTCCACTTCTCATGAACGACAATCTTCCCAGCAGCGATGGCTACAGAACCGTCCTCAACCTCCG